GCATCCCGATCCTTTAGAAATGCAGCCTCAGCTCAGTTCTTCACCTCCTGCTGTGCCTTAGTATGCACTTGAGGTATGGTGAGGCAAAATTTCTGCCAGTATATTCACTACCAGCTGCCACTTAGGATGGGTTCACACCTAGGCGTTCTCACCTATGCGTTAACTGCATGCGGTTATTTGCCTGTTTTGGCGCATTATGCACATTTGTATACGCTTTTTGACAAGCATACATGAAGATGTGCGGTTTGATTGGCAGCATATAAATCATTGTTGGCATTGGAAGAACATGTGCAAAAACTATCACAAAAATGTGCAGCATGCTTCTGTTGCAAGTTTTTGGTCACTTCCAATGAAGTCTGTGGGGCTTTTAACTGCCCACAGAAGCTCCGGTATCTTTCAGGCGTTTGGCGTTTTTCTGCTCATGTGTGAACCAGGGCTATTGAAAATCATGGGATTTCTTGTGTTGGGCAGTTAAGAGCGCTTTTCCAACTGCTCAAAAACTCCTAGGATTGAACCAGGGCTTAAAGAGGAACTTTACCCTTATCTTGAAAACGACAATAGCCACCTTTCCAAATGTTTAGTAATGACAATCTACAAACGCATACCTCTAGATAATTGCCGGCTTTTTATTCTTTGCATGCCTTGTTTTTCGTTTCTTCCCCAGTCTTCTCGCGGTGGCCATTCTTCTTTTTTTTTTTAACTAAGGGCAGATTAATGTATCTCCCTTTACTTCCTGGAACTCTGGCACATGTGACTAGGACATGTGACCATGCACATCATCTGAAGGGAAAAAATGCTTTTCCCTGAGATATCGTTAGATTGCAGATTACATTTCCCAGCAATGCACTGCTGATGTAACCCTCCCAGGATGCATCACTTAGGCACAGTCACATTACTAATGCCCAAGAGGACCAGGAAGTGCAAAAAAAGTAATTGTACATAAAAGAAAAATGTGTGTCTTACATTGATTAGTTAAATAATTTCATATCCGCATGCAGAGCTGACTACTGATGAGATTTTTAGTAAAAGGGGGTAAAGGTGTGCTTTAACAGACTCCACATCCCAATATCCCAAGCTCACTACTAGGTTACATGGCTGTTGGGAGAACAGAACCACAGCCCAGAAGTCATGATATCAATGGCTGACTGGTTTTATAGCAGCAGATAATATGACTGTTCAACAAAAATATTTTATGGGTGTAGTTATCCTTGAATTTGTCATTCAATAGTATTGGGGCAGATTACATAATGTAGGTGCAGTTACATAACATGTAATCCAATTTGTCCGGTTCGGATTCGGCCATGCCGTACAATAGAAGCACTTCAATGTAAAAGTAAAAAATTCACAGGCCGTTCTTACCCTCTCTGTGTAATAACATTAAGGCCTTGTTCCCACCAAGCGCGTTCCAGGAGCAGAGCAGTTACAGACCCGGAGCAAAACTGTGTCCAATGTATTCCAATGGTATTTTTAGCTCCAGTTCACATTGCAGCGTTCCGTTCCAGAGCAGGTAAAAAAAACTGCAGCAGGCCCTATTTTGCCTGCTCTGGAGCGCATGCAAACGCATCAAAAATGCCTGGAACGCACTGAAAGCCCATTTTAAACTAAAAATATTTTTTTACCAAAAACGGCCCGGAACGCATCAAAAAAGAGGCAAAAACGCGGCACAACCCACTGCACTGTGTGTGCAGAAACTCATGCAGATCTGCTCTGCATTTTGGTGTGAACAAGGCCTTAGGGTTAGTTCACACCAGAAACTGCATCACAACTGCGTGCGTCTGCGCAGTTGCATTGCAATTCGTTTTTATGCTTTTGACGCATTTGTGATGTGTTTTGATGCGTTCAGATGCGTTTTTCCCCTCTGGATGATGCCACAATCAATTCTGTTTTTTCCCCAAATGCGTTCCGTTTGCATGCGTTTTGATGCGTTCCGGTGCAGTTAGATGCAGCTAAAATAGGACAAGCAGTACTTTTTCTGACTGCATCTGAACGGACTGCACTGGTGTGAATTGAGCACAAGAAAGCCCATAGAAAAGCATTGTGATGTATTTTGGCTGCTGCAGTCAAACTGAACGGACTGCATCACAACTGCATATGGTGTGTGCTGGCCCTAAGGGTTCCGACCTCCCAGAGCTCCCTGGTTTTCTTCCGGGCTGTATTGTTAAATCTAAAGAGAGAGATACTCTAGTCCTACAAAGTCTTGGGAGCTGCAGTAGGATGGCATTGGTTTCAAAGGGAGTTATGGGAAGTGGATGACCCACATAGAGGATTTCCTGTTACAGTTTTATTTTAGCAGAGGAACCAAAGCTTTCCCTGGCAAGTGACTTTGTCTAGGCTGAGCTGACATCGTCATTCTGATGCCGAGTTTTACATGACGGTCATATCTGGACCAGCATCTCAGTCCAGTAAATAGTTGCTGGCCCTGAATGATGCCCTAACAAAGATGGTTTTATCCTTTTGGTGAGAAAGGTAAATGAAGTTTATACTGTAAATTGTGAGTTTATTTTGTTTTTGGAAGTATAATCCAGTTACCAGAAGAAAGAGCAGAATAATCCCATTTGGTTGTTTTTTTTGTGTGTAGCACATACAGCATCTGCCTGTTTGTTCATGTAAACTGGCACCCATGTATCTCAAGAACAGTATTGTGCCAATAATTAAGGTCTGCTCAGGCTATGTATACTTGGGAAGTATGTGCCAAAGCGGCTATACCATATGGCCTAATGCACTTGTAGCGTTTGATATGTGTTTTGGCACAGTACAGGTTGGGAGCTTGCCTGTTTTACTGACAGACTTATGTTTGTACTGGCGCAGTGATTCAGCATCTCGCCTGGCACAGTTCTTACGTGAAAGTTTGAAGCATGCTCCGTCTATCCACAGGACGTTGTCCGGGAACAGCTGCTGGTTTACTGTTTGAAGCATAGTCTTGGAATCCTATTACAGGGCTTATTTGAGTTTTATGCTGCCTGTTCACCCCTATGCAGGGTATCAGGAGATAAGCTGCCTTGTAATAAAGAGATTGTCAGTGCATTACATTTACTTCCCATGGGGTCAGCCTGTGACAGTCAGATTTCTGCTGTCTTAACAGTCACCGTCTCACTGTCTGGTATGAACTTATAGCCTTTTGATGGGATTTTTGTGCTGTCACAGTAGCTAATCACTCTTCTGATCTGTCTACATCTCACCACCTTTAGCCACTGTTTTCTGGTTTTAATTTGCATATTGAATGCTTTGATTGTGAAATTCTACTTGGGGTTCCAACTACTGAATTGCACCCCTAGTCTAACCTGCAGGGGATGCAAGGAACTTACATAAAAGAATGGTCTATCTCTTGGCTGATCGTACTCCATAGGTGAATGGATCACACAGCCAATTGATTTCTTCTAAGATAAGCCAGCACTCATGTGCCTTCCCTCCCTTCCCTCCCTTCCTTCCTTCCCTCCCTTCCTTCCTTCCCTTCCTTCCTTCCTTCCCTCCTTCCTTCCTTCCTTCCTTCCTTCCTTCCTTCCTTCCTTCCTTCCTTCCTTCCTTCCTTCCTTCCTTCCTTCCTTCCTTCCTTCCTTCCTTCCTTCCTTCCTTCCTTCCTTCCTTCCTTCCTTCCTTCCTTCCTTCCTTCCTTCCTTCCTTCCTTCCTTCCTTCCTTCCTTCCTTCCTTCCTTCCTTCCTTCCTTCATAGGTCTAAATATGTAGGTTCACCACATTTGAATGGATCAATCCCTGATTCTTAATATACCAGTAATATTCTAACACCTAATCTTTTCCTCCTAGCTTTTATAAAACTTCACCATAGCTCCCCATAGTTTGTAGAGTGTGTAATCTCAATTCAGTCCTGATACAATTATTTTTTAATGACGCCTTATGCACCCCCCCACACAACACACACACACATACATACATACATACATACATACATACATACATACATACATACATACACACACACATACACACACACACATACATTCATTCATTCATACATACACACACACGCACACACACACACACACCAATGTCTCACAGAGTATAAAAAAACATGTGGTCAGAGAAGTGACTTCGGAATGATAAGAGTCTTCTTTACCTCTGTAGCAGAACCACAGTCTGCTCCAATGTTTAGCCTACCCTGGGTTTTTTAGAGCTGGAAGCACCCTTTTTCATTTGTATGGGGACATGCTAGGACGCTATAGCTGCATCCATACTTACCTGTGGGAGTTTAATGAGCATGCAGGACCGATGCCTTGGTGAATTTCAGACAAAGACCACTGCAGGTCTGATATAGAGTTAAGAGGCTGGACTGAGGTGGGTTGTTAGTGCAGTTTAGCTCAGGAGGACTGGGGTGGATTAGTGGACTTTATCAAACAAAGTTAGAGTTGTGCTTTAAAGTTAAACTACAATCCAGACATGTTACGTTGTAGCAGGGAAGAGTAGAGCCTTTGTCAGGTTTTTATTGCCACTTGAGAACTTATTGGGGAGATTTCCTGAAAGGGAGTGATGGAAAACCTCTCGAATAGGGACACTTATTACAATGTATTTATTGCTGTCCATGGCTTCCTCTCCCTCCTGCGCCACCCAGCATCACACGGACAGGAAGTGATGAGAAATCTCCCAAATGGGGTCACAGAAATAAAAAATATGACGGGACTGGTCCCCACTGTACCCAAGTCAAAACATTGTTTGCCTGGAACTGGGCCTTGAAGCAGAAGTCCGGGCTAAACAAATATTATCTAAATACAAGAGGCCTGTACTTTGCCGCTGTGCAGGAGTTCTTCTAATACAGACCAGCCATTGCTCCTCTCTCTCCTTGTGCAGGGTAAATGGACTGCTATCCTGAGCATGAAATTGGTGTAATCCTCTTATGTGTTCACAGCTTGAGCTGGCATACGAGACTGCAGCTGATGAGATGTGAAATGGTTTCATGTTTACTGCTTTAAATGAACTTGTTTCTCATCCTCATGGCACAACAGGCGTAATACATTTAACATTTACTTTGTGTCCTCTTTTTTTTTCAGGAGACATAACTCAGAAAGGTTATGAGAAGAAGAGGGCCAAGCTTCTGGCTCGCTTCATCCCACTCATTCAAGGTATGCTATTAAAGCTCATTCATATGTGGTTGGTCATTTGACAGGATGTGTTGGTAGAATGATGCAGAATGTGTTACTAGCTGGACAAGTGTTGGTCTGGTGTGAAGTGGCCAAAAAACTAATATAAAGTATTCTGAAGGAAAATAGTTTGCTTTTCTGTTGCAAGTACTGTCTTTGGTGCACCTTGTTTTCAAATCTTCATGATATCATACTTCAACATGAAGAACTAATGCTACGATTTTCATAGTGTGAAGATTAATCAAAGTATCTAAAGCCAAAATGTTAGTGATAGAATAGGGAATGGTTAAAACCTGTGATGTTTATATTTTTTGTCATCTGTGTACCAATAAAATTGTATAGGAAATCTCTCCAAAGTGAGGTTAATCCCTTCTTAGACAGGTGTCGCAGAAACATGTGATCCCATTAGATGATTTCCCCTCAAGTCCTGTTCTTGTGACAACTAATCTTGGATTTTCCCTGATCTTCAGTCATGGTAACAGTGGTCATCTGGACAATTAGAGTGTGACTCTCCCTAGTGGGAGACCGTGTGTGTGTATGTATGTATGTATATGTAAATCATTGGATTCAAGTGTTCTGTGAAATTTCTTTGCTACTAAATATTCTGCGGTCAACTGTTAGTGGTAATATAACAAAGTGGAAGCAACTGGGAACAACAGCAACTCAGCCAGTTGCTGACCACGTAAAATGACAGAGCGGGGTCAGAGCATGCTGAAGTGCACAGTGCGCAGAAGTCACCAACTGTCTACAGAGTCAATAGCTACACACCTCCAAACTTTGTGTGGCCTTCAGATTGGCACAACAACAGTGCGTAGAGAGCTTCATGGAATGGGTTTCCATGGCTGAGCAGTTACATCCAGGCCTTACATCACCAAGTGCAACGCAAAGCGTCGGATGCAGTGGTGTAAAGCGCGCCGCCACTGGACTCTAGAGAAGTGGAGACGTGTTCTCTGGAGTGACCAATCACGCTTCTCTGTCTGGCAATCGGATGGATGTGTCTGGGTTTGGCGGTTGCCAGGAAAATGGTACTTGCCTGACTGTATTGTGTCAAGTATAAAGTTTGGTGGAGGGGGGATTATGGTCTGGGGTTGTTTCTCAGGGGTTGGGCTTGGCCCCTTAGTTCCAGTGAAGGGAACTCTTAAAGCATCAGCGTACCAAAACATTTTGGACTATTTGATGTAGAGCTGCAGCTAACGATTATTTTCAAAATCGATTAGTTAGCCGATTATTAAGTTCGATTAAATATTGGTGCGGAGACTGCGAGCCAGGCCTTCTCGTCCAACATCAGTACCTGACCTCACAAATGCGCTTCTGGAAGAATGGTCAAACATTCCTGTGGACACACTCCTAAACCTTGTGGACGCCTTCCCAGAAGAGTTGAAGCTGTTATAGCTGCAAAGGGTGGGCCAACTCAATATTGAACCCTACGGACTAGAGTTCATGTGCGTGTAAAGGCAGGCGTCCCAATACTTTTGGTAAGTGTGTGTGTGTGCCTGCAACTCAATAAAGCTGTCATGGTCTTCAAACTTTTTAAACAAAGGACTAGTGTACTGTTCTTTAGACCTGGGAGTAAACAATGTGCTAGGGTTGGAGAGCAGTGGGTTTAAAAACAAAAAGACTTAGCGCCTCTGGTAAGCGGGAGAAGAAATAACGCCCCATGATAGGTTTCAATGGGCGGAATAATGGTCCATTGTTTGTATCAATTGGAGGAAAAGTGCCCCATTGTTGTTGTGAGCGGTTGGAATAGTTGCTTTCAGTTAGATCAGGGGTGCCCACAATTTTTGTGTTAAGATCTACTTTTCAAAATGACGAGCTACATGAGATCTACCAATGAAAAAAAACCTCCCTCGCTCTCTCACTCCTGGCTGTCTCTCCTTGCTCTCTCTCCTGGCTGTCTCTCCTTGCTCTCTCTCCTGGCTGTCTCTCCTTGCTCTCTCTCCTGGCTGTCTCTCCTCGCCCTCCTGGCTGTCTTGCCTTGCTCTCTCTCCTGCCTCACCTTGCTGTATTTTGCAAACAGTGCAGTGCAACAGGCTGTGTAAACTAATATTCTTTGATGGTAATACATAGCACTTCAACCACCAGTATCCACCAGAAAGGTGTCAGGGAGCTTGGCTCAGCAGACTCAGGCTAATAGGTAATCATGTGTGCACAGCTAAATAAATATATTTAAAATGGAATAAAGGGGCCACCATTCACACCCTTCATGATCTACCAGCATCAGCTTTGAGAGCTACTGGTAGATCACGATCTACCTAATGGGCACCCCTGAGTTAGAGAAATAGTGTCCCATCATTTGAGTCAGTTGGGGAAATAGTGCCCCATTGTTGCTGTCAGTGGAAGGAATATTGCCCCAACATTAGTTTCAGTGGAAGGAATAGTGCCCCATTGTTGGTGTCATTGAGAGGACTGAAGTACCACATCATTGGTGTCAGTGGGTGGACTGGCACTCCATCACTGGTGTTGGTGGAAGGAATAGTGCCACATTGTTGGTGTCATTGGGAGTAATAGTGCTCCAAGGGCTGGTGAAATCAAGTAACGGGCTGGGGTTCAAGAGGATCAATTTTTGTTTAGGCAACAGTTAGAAAGGGGAAGCTGTGTAATACCGATACTGTAATAATCTCAGACTGCTGAACTCTGCAGATTTTCACGCATTATAGATTATAGAGTTTACATATGATGGTCAAAAAACCTCAAAGGATTGGCAGGAGAAAAAACACAATGTTATTAAGAGAAGCCAGATGAGAATGGTCAGACTTGTGCAAGCTGGGGAAAAATTTGATAAAGCAGTCTTTAAAGCACAGGGGTGTACTAATTTGTTTAGAACAGGGGTGGGGGACCTCCAGCTGTGGTCAAACTACAAATCCCATGATGCATCTGTCTCTGGGAGTCATGCCTGTGGCTGTGAGAATCTTGCAATGCCTCATGGGATTTGTAGTTTCACCACGCCTGGTGAGCCGGAGGTTCCGTACCACTGGTTTAGAAAATGAAAATACATTAGGCACAGGAGCATGAAAACTAAGCTAGAAAAGAAAGATAATATATTGTATGGATTGACAAGTCTTAATTTCTGTTGAATCATATAGATGGTAGCACGGCACCTCATAGTGCTGCAACAACTAATCGATTAAATAGATGATAATAGATTATGAGATTAGTTGGCAACTATTCTCATTATCGATTAGGAGAGAGACAGAGAGAGAGAATATTTTTTAATGCATCCAATCGATTAGTTGAACAAATCAGGCAACTAATCGATTATGAAAATAAGTTAGCTGCAGCCCTAGTACCTCAGCATGTATCTTTTGGAAAGAAGAACACATTAATATGTGTTACTGTTGAGTCGGCTAGACCAAAAATGTTGGATCCATGGTGTAAAGTATTTAGGTTGGCCAGAAAGCAGAAGGGGCCAGCTGAATGTATGTGACCAATAAATTAAACAAAATAAACAAGAGGGGTGCAACGTCCTTTGTATTTAATTAGAAGAATGAAATATCAAATACGCACTTGCAGTAAAAAGATTGGTTGTTGCCTATCAGCCTTTTAATCTTGATGGCAATAGTCCTCACTGGTAGGAAAAGACTAAATAACTTCCTGCACCTGTGGGGATCATTGTCACTAAAACCAATAGGCTGGTAGGCACTGATATATATATATGCATTGTAAATGCGTATTTGACCTTTGATTCTCCTAATTTTGCATTTTTTAATACATGAGGTCAGATCTTTTCTGAACTCCAAGTAATGTCTTTGTAGGTAATGCCTTTTAAACTGAGGGGCATCATCAGTAGTTCCATTTCTGGGGGGACCCCTCTATAGGGATGCACCAAACATTAGTCTGTTCTGGGCTTATATGAAGGAATTTTAGATTTTTTTTTACTGCAATGAATTTCAAAGCACATTTCCAGTATATTTGGAGCAGTTTCGATTATGTATGGAAAAGGAAGATGTATTATTTTGCTCACCCATCAGATGGCTGAGAACGAAACTGCGATTGTCTACTGTTCTGGTCAGTTTTGTTTTCCAGGCAGTTCTGGGTGTTTTACTTGCTGAGTGAGTGATTCCTGCTGAGCTCTAATCCCTGGCCCAGAGTGTCAGAGCCAAACTAAGCAGAACTTTCTCCCCTTCCATACTGGAAGTTCAGTCAGATAGGCAGAGCTTGTTTTTCTCAGTATGGAAAAATCAAGAGGAAAGCAGACATCGTTGGCTCACTGCTAAAAATTAAAATGCCAGGAACTACCCAAGGTATATTTGGGCCAGTGAAATTAGCCATTTAGGACAGAAACACTTGGAGCCAGGGGAGTGTTCCACCCAAAAAAGTGTCCACCCAAAGGTGTTTTAGCTTCTTGCCAAATTTTTGCCACTGTTTTTTCAACTCGCCTCAATGCTGCTTTCTTTGTAAAGTAACATATAACCTTGTATATAACCTAAAACAATCAAAAGGAATGCATAGCTAGTCAAGTGCCTTTAAACCAGCATAGCATATCATGTGTCTGTTTGTTTAGGGTCAGCTGCACTTCCTTTTAGTATGGTGGTGTTCCCACCCTTGTATAGGCATTTCTACACCAAGACTACGGCTGTTGTGGGTAGGCTCATTGTTGGCACGTCCTGCATTCCTGCCCAGCCTATGCTTGCTATGGAAGGCAGCACCCTGTCAGTGTCTGCATGTGAGCCAGTCTGTGGCTACATCAGCAAAAGTGACATTCTGCTACAACCTCAATCTGCCCTCCACCCTTGTCTGCAAAGAAGTAGAGACATAGATAGCAGTCACATGACCCCTGTAGAAACTTTTAAAATAAAAACTTCATTATGACTTGCAGCTGGGTGAAGTTAGGAAGTTGTCATCAGGCTGCTTTAGAAATAGATGATGCAGGTGATTAAAGACCATTTCCACCTTTTGCAGAGATATTTAAAAAAAAAACAGATGCTAGCAATGTACACCCAATTTACATGAAGCAGGCTTATGCAGTTGCTGTATATGAACACAAACTTAATTTTTGTGTTTAACTTTCCTCTTTATATCCTCATGGAAATGGCCGCCGCTGTGCAAGCAATGTGTATATATTACAACTCTGCTCTCTACATCCCCCCTCCACCCCCCCCCCCATTTTTTAGTTTTTATCGGGGCACACCCCCTG